AAAAAGGGAGAAAAAAGAGAAAAAGCTATGACAGTCATAGTGTGCATGGCACATGAGCCTCTCCCATAGCTCAGTTATGTACAGAGTAGTCGTGTCCTCCAGTCTTGTGGGACGTTGTGCAAAACCCATTGGGGTTTTTTTCCAGTCACCCAGGATCTTGTGGGATCCATGGCAGGAAAGCAACCAGTAATTCTTTCAGCCAATCTCATCTACTGCAAAGCAGTGTGGAACGGCACTGAGCAGAGTTTATAAAAGATTTACACTTTAAAAAGTGCAGCAAGCCTGGCCCTGACCCTAATAGTCTCTATTAAAAATCAGCATTTGCACAGAAATAACCATAATTTTGCTTATCCCAAAAGAGCTGGGAGAGAAAAGCTTTATATCCTCCTGCTCATTTTGTCCTTCTCCTTCCCTTCTGCCAGGCTATTCTTTCCAGAATACTTCTGACACTTATTGAGCAGGGCCAAGGGGGTCTGTCTTCTCCTCATCACCAAAACTGCAAGAGAAGAGCAGGGGAGGAGAGTTTCCCCCTCTCTCCTGACCTCTTGGGAAAGGTTTTGGTGGCTCCAGGGGATGCTGCCCCAGGGCAAGGCACGGTGAGGCTGAGCTGGAAAGTTCATGGCTTTTTCTAGCTTTGTGGGAAAGATCATGAAGCACAGGGAAGAGGGGAATAAAGCCACCAGCAGCCAAGCAGAAGTGACAGGCAGAGGCAAGAGATATTCCATGGAGATAAAGCAGTGCAAGAGGAAAGGAGCTGGATGAGCTCAATTCCCAAGTTCCTTGAGAGAGGCACCTCAGGATAGGTCCACCCTAAAGAACAGGGCTTGATTCAGCTCCCAGAAGGACTGCACCTTTCTCAATTAATGTGCATTTCATTTACTCTGCATAGTTTATTTCTCTCCAAGACACCAGCCCTGTGACAATATTTGATGTTGCATCACTTTGGAAAAAAATACAGCTACTTTGTCATTCCCATCTCAGCTCACACACACAAGAGCTTCTGTCTCACCGCCAGCAATTGCAGCAGACCTCAGCAACAACTTTTAAAAACGGCTTGTTTCTGAGCTAAAATAACCCACATTCCCTGTCCAAAGGCATTGACAGGGCTTTTTGAAAAGACTCAGCTCTTCTACAATGTGCAGAGGAACTGCTGACCTGTGGGAGAGCTGCTAACCCCAGGGATGCCCTGGAGGGCCCTCCTGTGCCCCCACCTGTGGGAGGTGGAAGAAGGGGTCACACACAGCCTGAGGTCACCCTGCCAGGTGCTGCTCTCAAACCCTGTCGTGTTCTTTGCACTCCCTGGTAGATCTGGTGCCAGGAACGGAGTATGGCATTGGGATTTCAGCCGTGATGGACAGCCAGCAGAGCGTGCCAGCGACCATGAATGCCAGGACTGGTGAGTTTGGCCCCGCTGCCTGCTCCAAGCACAGCTGGCTGCTATGGCTCAGATGCCCCCATAGGACAGTGTGTGCATGGGGACAAAGCTCTGCACCAACCCTCTTCCACAGAGCTTGACAGCCCCCGGGACCTCCTGGTGACAGCCTCCACTGAGACATCCATCTCACTGGCTTGGACCAAAGCCACGGGTCCCATCGACCACTACCGCATCACCTTCACCCCCGCCTCAGGAATGGCCTCTGAAGTGACAGTGTCCAGGGACGAGTCACAGCTCACCCTCTCGGAGCTGGAGCCCGGGACAGAGTACACCATCTCCATCATCGCGGAGAGGGGCCGGCAGCAGAGCCTGGAGGCCACCGTGGATGCCTTCACAGGTAGAGAAACACAAGCTGGGGTGGGGGCAAGGTACAGACCTTGTTGGCATCTCTGCCAGCCCACGGCGTCCCTGGCAACAAAACCCTTGAGGTGGTGATGGGGAGGAGGGCTGTGGTCAATGTGTCCACACAGGAGCAGTTGACCTCAAAAGGAGGATGGCCCTACCAATGTGGTGGCACAATCCCTGTGGACAGAAGCACTGAACACACTTGCTCTGCTGGACAACACAGAATTGGGGAAAACAGACAGCCCTCTGCTGTCCTCTGTGGTCAGGGTGGCCTGTGAGCCCATAAGAAGAAGAAATGAAGCCTTGGGGGACCTCACAAGGACCTCTGGCTGAAAAGTCTGCAGTCATGAAGTGCAGACAACATATACCATCTGCAGTGGGACACTTCCATCACCCACTCTGTGGGTCTGGGATGGAGGATGTTTGCAGGTGGAGCTGAGAGAAGCACCATTTCCCCCCTCCTGGTTCTGCTGGTTGATCCCAGCAGAGTTTCAGATCAATGGAGAGCCCAGATCTTTTAAGATTTAAGTATTTAAGAAATACTCTTTTAAGTACTTCCCATTCAAGCACTGGGAAAAATGCAGAGGCAAGGATCTGCAGACAGTTGGGGTTGCATCTCTCCTCTCCATCTTCCAGGTGTTCGGCCCATCTCACAGCTGCACTTCTCCCAGCTGACATCCTCCAGTGTGAATGTCACATGGAGTGACCCATCCCCACCAGCAGACCGCCTCATCCTCACCTACAGCCCCCGGGATGAGGAGGAGGAGGCACAGCAGGTCACACTGGACGGCACCCGCAGGCACACCAGCCTGACGGGCTTGCAGCCCTCCACAGAGTACCTGGTGTCACTGGTGGCCGTGCACGGCTCCATCAGCTCTGAGCCCGTCGTGGGCTCCATCACAACAGGTACCACGGGACACCCCCCCCCAGGCACGGGGCAGCACCGGGGAGGGCAGGCGGGGGCATGGGGAGTGGACCTGCCTCCCACAGCTTTTCTTTGTGCTCCGTCTCACCAGGGATCGATGCACCAAAGGACCTCAGGGTGGGCAATGTCACCCAGGAGTCCATGATGGTCTACTGGAGCGCTCCCATCGCTGCCTTTGACCACTACAGGATATCCTACCGTGCTGCTGAAGGTAACGGGCCAGAGCACTCCTGTTCGTGCCCTGAGCTCACAGCTGCCAGCCTTCCCTCCACCCGCTGGCCCAAGCAAGCCACATCCTCACCCAGGCAGCATCCCAGTGCTTTGGGGAAAATGACCAATAACTGGGATTGGCTCCAGGGCAGAGGATGGGGTGACTGGGATGAGGATGGGAAGGGACCACCGCAGCCAGCTCGGCACAGAGGGGCACACAGAGTGGCCCCCCAGCAGCGTGCCCTCCCCAGAGATGGTTAAATTCAGGGCTCAATCCTGAAATCCCAGCTCCCTCATCTGCTTCACCTACCTCATCTCCCTTGGCCCTAGTTTTGTCAGTGATGCTGGAAAGGCCCGGCCAGCAGAGTGATGGGCACACAGCAGGGCACCTGCAGGCACAAAACCCAGTTACCTCCAGTGTCTTGTGGAACTGCCCTCCCCTCCCAAGCCCCTCCTGAGCCCCAGGGATGGGGCCAGCCGTGATGTCAGAGCTCTTGGCTCCATCTCTGCAGGAAGGACAGACAGCATGACCATCCCCAGGGATGCCACCGAGTACGCCCTCCAGGACCTGCAGCCTGCCACCAAGTATGAGATCGAGGTGAAGAGCGTGCGGGGCCGGGAGGAGAGTGAGCTGGCCTCCATCACTGCCTACACAGGTGGGAAGGAGCTCTTGGTGGGCAGGGAACAATCAAACAGTGTCAGGTCCAGCCCTGCCCAGGGCTGGCAGTCCCAGTCTCAGGTGACTGAGAACAAGCTGGACCTCACACCAGCTGGATACAAGCTGGAAATGATAAGCAGGGCTCACAAGGGCTCAGTGTGGGCTTTTGAAGTATGTCTCAGCAAACTTTATCCCAAACATGCATGGGCAGTCATGGGTAAAAGTGATAAACCTGTGTACCAGGCAGAGCGAAGCCAGAAACATGATGCTGGGCAATCATGACAACCTTTTCCAAACAGAGTACAGATTTCCAGAAATAATCCCTAGGGAAGCCCTGTCACAAAAAGCATCTGCTGCAAGAATAAAACCTTCTGCTATCCCCAGACTCCTCAAAGCCTAAAGAAAAGCCCTAACAAGGCAGACTGGGCATTAGAAAAGAGTGGAAGAGCAGCCAAAAAGCAGAGTAACACAAGCTACAACATCTCTGCATTCTAGCTTGGGCAGCACTAACTCCCGTGCAGGCACATGTGTCAGGGTAGGACATAGAGCAATATGCCACAAGAAGCCCTTCCAGTTCATAGTCCAGTCTCCTAATGCCTCTGACTCTCTGGATCTCTGTCCCACACAGCCATGGATGTCCCCCTGGGGGTCACGGCCACCAACATCACTCCCACCGAGGCGCTGCTGCAGTGGAACCCGCCGCTGGCAGAGGTGGAAAGCTATGTCCTCATCCTTACCCGCCGTGCAGGTACACCAGGGCTCTGACTCAGCTCACCCCCAAAGCCCAGGGCTCACTGGGTGCCCTTCACAGAGGGAGAAGGGGAGGAGCCCTTGCCTTGGGTTTTTATAGGGATTGTGGGAAAAATCAGACCACCCTTCAGACTGAACAGCACCACTACAGCTCAGCTGCTGCACAGGTCATATCCAGAGACACATTTTGGAGCATCGCCTTGAATATCTACAATAACTCATCCCTTTTTTTTCTTACAGTTGCAGGAGAAACAATTCTCGTGGATGGAGACAACCAGGAGTACCAGCTGACCAACCTGCTGCCCAGTACCACCTACACAGTGTCTATGTATGCCACCAGCGGGCCTCTCACCAGCCAGACCATCAGCACCAACTTCACCACTCGTACGTACAACCACTGCCCTCACTCCTCATCCCCAGCCATGCACCCAGCCCCTGGAAAAGCAGCCAGCAAGGCTGAGCCAAAGCTCTTGTTACATAACCCTTGGGGTGTGGAGGTAGCCACGTGCCAAAAGGACACAAACAGCAATCCCAAATACCAGTGCAGGGCACAGCACAAGAACACAATTTTGATCAACAAGCATCAACCATTATTTACACTCTTTTGACATCCATCCATCCCTCCCTCCCTCCCTTTTGGTGATTTCCCCTGGCTGTGGCTTCCTGAGCAGACCCCCGACCAGGTCTTTTTTTTGCCCAAGGCCATAGTCCAGAAGAACACGACAACCCATTTTGCTTGACAGGTCCCATAGCACATGAATTTCACAGCTGTGACCCTTAAGGTGGCACACAGGTAGAAAAGGACCTCTAGAGGGTTTGCAGAACTTTGTTCAAGACTGGGGATGGGTGATGAGGTCTTGAAACTGAGGGTGAAGATGGTCTTTGGGCTGTGGCTCAGTGCTGCAAGGTTGAATCCCGGTGTACTGTGTCGGGAAGCAGGGTTGAGGTGGTTGCGTGAGAAACTGCTCTTCCCTGTGTCCCTGTCCACTCTTGCAGTTTTGGATCCTCCAACAAATCTGACAGCCAGCGAGGTCACGCGACGGAGCGCCCTGCTGTCCTGGGTTCCTCCCCTGGGAGAGATCGAGAACTACGTCATGACCTACAGGTCCACCGACGGCAGCCGCAAGGTGAGCGAGCCCTCGCACCAAAGAGCTCCTTCAGTCAGGGAACAATAAGACCGTGTTAAAATAAGCAGGAGAAGCCAAACAGAGCAAAAGAACAAGGCTCAGTGGCTCAGGGAGGCCAGAAGGGCAGACACTAGTTCCTGCTAAGCAGGATGACAGGAAAAAGCAACAAGAGATTGCCTAAGGGAAAATGTTGATGCACACCTACTGGTCTGGGCATAGAGGGGTTACCTGGAAAGATTGGAGGAACAGGGGCAATTCTCAGCTTGTGAAACACAAGCAAGCTGAGGCAGGAGAATATTATTCTGCAGAGATGCTAAAAAGGCCATTTGCCCTTCTTGCAAAAACGAAGATAGGCACAGACAGCTAATTAATTCTGCAATACAATACATTTGATTATATAATGAGTGTGTCCACATCTGCCTGTCTGGAGGAGCTGCACCAACACTATCAGAAATATGTCATGGCAAACAGTCTGATTTCCTTTGCTGGTGTGATTGGCTTGGAGCAGCCAGAGGATAATAGCTTTGCAAAAGGGGTCTGATAATGCTGTGTGGCACTGGCCAACAACCAGAAAAATTAATATGACAGGAATCAAGGGAGTCAAAACTGGCTGATAACCAGGTTTGGCCAGCTCAATTTCTTGCACTGCTTGGGCAATCAGTCACGTCTTGTACTGAAGGCACACAGGTCCCAACAGACCCAGCTGACAGAGGACACAGACTGCAAATATTTAAATCCATCTCCAAACCAGGTTGCTTTCCCCACCCAAACCATTCTGAAATGTTGTTTATATTGGCTGATCTCACGTTCACTCAGTCCAGGGGTCTCAGCAGTCATGCAATGCTCCTCAGCCAGGCTCCAAGGGCTGCAGTAGTTTGTGGCTTCCCTTCCCTCCTCACTTGCTCTTTAGGCTCCCCATCGCTTTTCTCATCTGTTGCTCTTGGTGTCTGCCTCCTTCTGGGACCCATGTACAGGAGCTGATTGTGGATGCTGAGGACACGTGGATCCGTCTGGAGGGGCTTTCTGAGACCACGGAGTACACGGTGCACCTGCAGGCTGCCCAGAACGCCATGCGGAGCGGCCTCATCTCAACCACCTTCACCACAGGTGAGGCTCACACTGCACCCATGACAGCTGGAGCCTGGCCCACATCTCATGCTGGTAGGAATGGACTGCTCTTAGGGACTTTCCCTCCTCAGGCAGCATTCCTTCTTCATCCACAAAGAGGTACTTACAATGCTGTGACTCACGGTGCTGCTTTGCTACAAAAATTTAATGGCTGAAGGATCTATGGTTCAAACACAAGACCCAGGCCAGGGCAAAGGGATTTGAGCTTCAGGCCAGGAACCATCTGACAGGCCCTTTGCTTTGCCCATGTCCATCCTCAAGTGCATAAACAGAGGAAAAAACACCCACTAAAATCAGCAACACATATCAACAGGTATGGCCCTGGGAGAGGACCCAGCCAGTGTCTCCATGCTGTGGACATGATCTGATTGCTCACAAATATCAAAGAATCAGAAATACTTTGGGTTGGAAAGAATCTTTAAAGGTCATCTAGTTCAATCCCCCTGCAGTGAGCAGGGTCATTTTCAACTTGATCGGGTTGCTCAGAGCTCTGTTGAATTTGACCTTGAAAGTTTTCAGGGTTGGGGTATCCCTGGAAATATCAAGCAGGTGCATCTCCACCACCACCAGTGGAGTCACAGACAGCAGAGCCAGCACTTTGTTTAATTCCATTATTCCTCCCCACTCTCATTCCAGAGGATTCACAATCGACTAAAGCACTAAAGTAATGGGAATGGTTTTGTTTTGAAATGAAAAGGTGGGCATCCACAGTCACCACGACCCTCAGAGACAGAACACTTACGCTTTCAAGAATGAAGCTTGCATGAGAATGTCACCATTGCTCCCATCCTCTGCAACCATTCCTAACAGAAGTTATGCAAAGCAAATTGTCCCTGATCCTCTTTGAAAAGCATGGCTAGGCCAGGGCACTTACAGACAGAATGCATCTTGTTCAGGGCTCAATCCAATCATATTTTTCCTGGGCATCAACAGTACTGAGAAGTCTCCAGATGATGTCCACCAAAATTCCTCCCATCTGTGCTGCCAGTTTAATTCTTAAATTAGGAGAATTTTCTTTGAATCAGCGCTGGATACACTTCTCCATCTCAATTACATTGGTCTCTTCAAAGGTCTCTTCACCTGCTTTTAAGAGATAACAGAAACTATTTACATCAACAAAAAAAGAAATTACTTCTCTAATACATCTACAAAACATGCTTTCCTGTTGTTTTTGCCTCTTACACATGTGCATAAATCCAGTACAATTCAGGCAGGTGGTAGAAAAAGATAGGTAATCTTTGAGGCTGCTTGGGAGTCAGGGATGAAGCTGCATGGGAATGACTTCTCAAGTGGGATAAAGCAGCAGAAACACACTTAGGTCAGGCAAGGAGAGCACCTTTTCCATCAAACAGAAGTGTCAGACCTCAGCACCATGAGTTCCCATTCTCAGGTGATGGAGCATCAAACACACAATTTGCTTTGAAGATGAAGATAGGCATTAGCAACAAGTCCGTTTCTCCCCACTTGCCCCAATATTGATGAGACAGAAGCAACCAGGAGCTATCACCAAGGCAATGAAATCCATGGACAGCATCTCTCATCAGAGCATCCAGATCTGCAATTCAGTTTACTCTGGCAATGCATCAAGGCACTTTGCAGAGAACAAGGACTTGTCTTTAAGGGAAAAAAAAAAAAGCCACCCAGGCTTAATTTAAACTGTTTTGCTTCCTTCTGCTTAAAGTACACATCCCGGGGTTCTTCTATTCCCCCTAACTTATTAATAGCTCAGCCTCTTTTGTTTCATGTTTGCATAAGGTTCTTGGGGAATTGTATACAGATGAGACAAAAGGAAGAAACAGATACAGTATTTATAATTTATAGTGGTTTGAAATGTCTTTCAAGGTCTCCTTGGCTCTTAAAGACATGAATATAAATTAAGAAACAAGCAATCTCCACAGAGCTCAGGGGAGCCCAAAGTGGTTGTTGTTGAAAAAGTTTTCATTGTTGGATACTATAAAATACAAACAATGTCTCACCAGGCTGTGCTACAGACCATGAAGATGGGGAGAAAAAAATAGAGGAACTTCAACATTTGGACACAGCAATGACTTTCAAGTCTTCAGGTCACAGGTGGGGGGAATACACCCAAGTGGGAAGCAACAGACAAGGGTTGTGCCTTGGTCCTATGGGGCACTACACAACTGTGATGGATGCACAGCACAGATCTGAAGGCCCCTCACACCTTCTCCGTTTGTTACAGAGACATCCTTGAAAATCACATCCACATTGCCAGCTCTGCACTCATTTATTCCATCATCCATACGTAGCAACACCAAAGAAAAAACTGTATTTTATTTCTCTCTTTTGTCTTATACAAGAAAAAATTGTTCCCAGAGTTGATATTCCAATACTGCCAGAATAATTGTCATAATTAAGACTCTCCTAAACTCTGACCACAAAATAAGATGTTTCCTCATTAGAGAACATCTGTAGAACAGTCACACAGCCCATGCTAACTACCTCTAGCATCTCACACAGCCTCATTCCTGCTCAGCTTGCAAGTGACAATTAGCTCAGCACAAGTCCACCAACATTTCCAAGGGCATGCAGAATCAGGAGAATCCCCCTGGAATGAGTACTGTTATAAAACTTGATTAGAGCTGGCAGTCCTGAGAGGAGAACAGGTTTTTGGTATTTTCACAGCTGTCTAAATATGCTGGTGACAGCTTAAACCCCAGGGTTTCAGACACAGAACAGAAAGACGGTCCAAGAAGTGACATCCCTCATCATTCATTGTGACGTTACTGTGCACCCTTCCAGTACAAGACATATGGAAGAATAATTAATATATGCACACTTTTTTTTTCCAGTAAGTCCTCTGAGGTCGACAGCAGATATAAAGTCTCACCACCTCATGGAATTACTTGGAATGCAGAAGCCAAGACAGACTTTTCCTGTATTGTAGCTAGTAGAGCCTGAAGCATGGGAAAAGATGTCTCTGCTTGAATTTTACTTTTTTTAATTTTATTTTTCAGGAGGACGTGTGTTTGCTAACCCTCAGGACTGTGCCCAGCACCTGATGAACGGAGACACGCTGAGCGGGGTCTACACCATCTCCATCAACGGGGACCTCAGCCAGCGGGTGCCCGTGTACTGCGACATGACCACTGATGGGGGTGGCTGGATTGTGAGTATCCATGGGGCACGTTGTCCCCACCACAAAGTAACTGAGCCCCTACCAGCAAAGCACGGGAATGACAGCAGGCTCAGCACCGCACGCTTCATTTCGCACGCCGCAGGGAATGGCCCACGCTCCGGTAATAATAGTTACACTTGGAGAAATGCCCTTTGATTTATTTGGCATGTTTGCAGTGCTTCTGGAGAGCAAAATCTGTGAGTGAAGCTGATTTATTGTTCTAGAAATGAAATTAATGGCTGGTAGCTTTCACGGGGAGTGATTCACACTGCCTGCAGAAGGAGGGTGTCAGGTCTCACCCCAATTGAGTCTGCACAGGAGAACTTTAGAAACAAATGTCTGTTTGGCATTTGAGCTGCACAAACACTGCTTGTCTTGACGTAGATGGACTGACAGTGTAAGTAAATAATGCCATGGTGCTTTGATCTTATTCATGTCAAATTCTTACACACATTACACAAAACCCTGCTAGATGTATAGTCAAAACCAGAAAAAATGGGCTTCCTCAAATGCTGATTTCTAGCCAGTAAATTTCCCTCTCACTCTGTTTCAGAGCATCTCTTTGGCTATCACAGAAACAGCCAGCTCAAAGCAGAATTACGTGCTAGAAAACCAGAGGAACCATGTACTAGTTAAGGCAGAAACCTCGAAGGCCAAATCCTTCCTATTCTACCATTAATTTGCTTTGGACATTATCTACTATCTCTTTGTTTCTACACCTGCACATGAATTAATTGCATGCCTGCAATTAACACTAACTGGATGGGCATTGCAATTTTCTCCCCTGAAAAAGGCACAACGGAAAGAAAAATTATTATCTTTACCTTGTGTGTCCAAAGCCTGGCAAAGCTGTTTCTCATTTCCATCACTGTGATTTTCCTCCTGGTCTTCCTCCACATCAGGTCTTCCAGCGGCGGCAGAACGGGCTGACCGATTTCTTCCGGAAATGGGCAGATTACCGGGTTGGCTTTGGAAACCTGGAGGATGAGTTTTGGCTGGGTATGACCTTCCCTGGTTGCCTTTCATTGATGTGTCAAACCTAAGCTCCATAAGCACTGTGTCAGCTGTTGGCTCCTTGCCCTTCACCACATTCCTCTACGTTCTCCCTCAGACAGTTTTCCTTCTGTTCATTCCCTGACCTTCACTTTAGGAGCTTATGCAGAGGAACAGCACATAAAGGCACACTGTGAAGGTTAGCAGCTCCCTAGTTTGTTCTCTCTAGGAGGGAAGAGGGGTATGTATGCTGTCAGTTTTCATGGACCAAAACCCATCACTGTCCATTGGAATACTACAGGTTGCACTGGTGGCCAGAAAGTCAGCTGTCCAATGAAAGCAGGAAAGGAGGAGTGGCAGACAGCACAGCTCTGAAATTGAGTGTGCTCCTCCAAAACCTGAACATACAGGTTGCACTGGTGGCCAGAAAGTCAGCTGTCCAATGAAAGCAGGAAAGGAGTGAGTGGCAGACAGCACAGCTCTGAAACGGGGTGTGCTCCTCCAAAACCTGAATGTGAGCCAAAGGGACCTGCAGCATAAACACACTCTGGCTTGTATGGGAGCTGAACAACAACATAAGTAACACCAAGGCTCAACAGCTGAATGTTCCAAGCTTCAGCAGGGCCTTGAACCCACCACTCATAGACACAGGGAAGTGAAGCTTGAGTGGGGACAGAGAGCTCAGACCCAGCAGTGCCAGGAGATACACAAACTCACCACAAGTGCTGCTGCTCTTTGATTCCTCTCCTTGCTCTCATTTCCCACTACTGTTTTATTTGCCTAGAGCTTTCCTTGTTTGTTCACGGAGCGGATCCGGCCCCAGGCCTCACTGGGTGTTTCACTGTCTCGACAGGCTTGGACAACATCCACAAGATCACATCCCAAGGGCGCTACGAGCTGCGAATAGACATGAGGGATGGTCAGGAGGCAGCATATGCCTACTATGACAAGTTCTCCATTGGCGACTCCCGGAGCCTCTACAAACTGCGGATTGGGGACTACAATGGCACTTCAGGTACAGCCTCAGTGCTAGCAAGGGTCTTGGGAAATCCTGTGACTGCTTGGTCCAAGACACTAAAGGAAATCCCAACATGAAATCTCACTTGTCAGAGCAGTGAGACAAAAGCCCAGAGTCCTTTCTGCCTTCCTGCAGTCCATCATTTAAACCAGGCTGATAAATCCCACTAAGGACAAAGGATTTTCCATTGGGGATTAGATATTTAATATCAGAGACATTGCTGTTCAAATAACCAGGTCAACCATCAGAGGTGTCATCTCACTTGGCAATAGCCACAGCTGGCTATTTATGTCATGCTGGAGGCTGTATTTATTGCCTTTCCACAGCTATGGAAAAATCTGAAACCCTCTGAGTCATTTCCTCACATAAAGGCCAAACACTGCCCAGTTTTGCAAGGACACTGACACACCTGCTTACCTGGTTGATTCAGAGGAGTTAGAATTGCCCACCAGAAGAGAGTGGGTGCCAGAGGGAGGGCACAGGGGGTCTCTTCCTCAAGAAGGGAGAAGGGGTACAGCTGTAGACCCTTTATCTGGGATAGAAATGCCCACTGCAAGCCTCCATGATGGAACTTTCACAGGTACTAGGCGGAACCCCACAACATACCCAAGATGCAGGAATTTCCCTATTCAATAGCAGTTAGTTGCCACTGGAAGAGAGGTGACAAGAATCTTGATGGTGCATAACAAAGCACTTGCTCTAACCTCAAATCCCAGGACACAAGGCACCCAACCTACTGCCAAGGATGGCAGTAATAGTCCCTCCATGGCTGGATTGCACCCAGCCAGCATGGGTCCACTTCATATGTCCTTAGGGATTACCAAGGAGCATATTTATAATGTCTCCTGTAAATACATCATTCAATTCACCATATTTTACTCTGGCTTTTCTTTCACAAGAAAGCTGTCTAGTTATCCAGTATCAAGTTAGAGGCTTTGGTGGAATAAGACATCACACACCTTCCAAAAAGCTTCTTTTCCTTATCCAAAGAGAGAAAAGGTGGCCAAGCATCTTGGTTCAAGAGATGAATGTCTGGTCTCCTTTGAGAGAAAAAGCTCCCTTTGGCTAACAGGAAAGAAGGAGGGTGAAAGCATCCTGAAGTTATATAGCAGAGCCAAGCCTTGGGAAGTCAGGGATGCCAAAATTTGGGATTGAATTAATTTCTGAAACACTGCAATTCAGATCCAAACACATATCCAAGCACTTTATCTGACAAAGCCAAGAAGCCTCTAAGATTTGCTACGGTCTGCACTGATCCTAAACAGACAGCAGAGGACCTCAGATGAGCCAGTTGTGAACAATTCCAGTTAACGTTATCCCCAGACTGCCAGCTGTCTGAGCCTTTGATTGGAATGGTTACCACAAACCCAGAATATCCCAATTTCCTTGTGAAAAGGCCAGATAACTCAGACTCCATCACCTTTAACAGCACCTCTTTTCACAGGAGACTCCCTCACCTATCACCAGGGGCGCCCCTTCTCCACCAAGGACAGGGACAATGATGTTGCTGTGACCAACTGTGCCATGTCCTACAAAGGGGCCTGGTGGTACAAGAACTGCCACCGCACCAACCTCAACGGCAAGTACGGAGAGTCCCGGCACAGCCAGGTAAGGGCACAGCTGGGCCAAACCTCTGGAATTTCTTCCAGGGGAACATGTCAGCAAGCCTTGGGGCGGTCTGGTTGGTGCACCAGGGTCAGAACTGGTGACATCACCCCACACCAGCTGGAGCAAAGGGAGCCACCTTCAATCCAGCTAGGCTTTGTGCCTCACACATGCTGCCATAGTCATTTGCTGTAGTGTGTTAGATTAAAAAAATTACCTACATGAAATTTGATCAGCCTTTTAGCAGTGGGGAAAAAAACAATCAAGCTATAGAAGCAGGGGAGCTGCTTGCTCCTGCTATAGCAAGTTTTTCCTTCTGGCTCCTCTACACCAATCAACCTTGTTTCCTTCCTCTCCCACTCTAGTTTCTTGTTAGGGTCTTTCCTTATTCTCTGCCTTTCTCTCCCTCCTGCCAGGGGATTAACTGGTACCATTGGAAAGGCCACGAGTTCTCCATCCCCTTTGTGGAAATGAAGATGCGACCTTACAACCACCGCAACATCTCTGGGAGGAAGAGACGGTCCCTACAGCTCTGAGCCAGCTGAACCCCTCCTGCCTCCCACCACCTGACCTTTTCTGTCATTTGTTTGTATTTTATAATATGAAAAGGGAAAAAAAAAAATTACTACTCGTCTGAGATAGCAAGCTGCCCCTCACAAGTGCTGGAGGGAACCATGGCACAAGGAAAGGCCATGGGAAAGGAAAGACCTCATTGCTTTGCATCTGTCCCAGAGAAATACCAAATTTCCAGTCTCCCTATCCCAATACTCTGGCCCTTAACATGAGAAGAAAGAGAAAGAGACAGATTTTTTGATATTTTTTTAAAAGACATAGAAATCCCCAGCAAACCCTGTTAAGAGATGTTTGTCACGGGGCCTGTGGCAGAAACTTTCCCCACAGGTACCTTGGTGTGGCCATTTCCAGCCCAGTCATGGCCAGGCACCAGTCCCCTCCCTGTCTCCTCCTGGCAGGGAGGTCCCAAGCTTCATGCCATCCTGTAGACACCAACCCTTCCAGCAGGCAGAGGCCCATCTCTCCCCTGTGTGCAGGCTCTGGACACATGGGGACTAAGTGGGGATGAGCAAAGGCTCATCCCATCCCCAGTTTTCACAGGAGGGCTTGGCAAATATCTGCAGACGTAGGCAAACTCCAGAGAGTCCACAGCTCCTGTGCTGGTCCCACCACAAAGTCATCCTCGTGTGCATGAGGTGTATGGGAATAAGAACTACTCCACCAGCCCCAACCTTCATTATCCACTCCTCCAGGCTGAACTCAGCCCACTCCAGGTCCATGACATCTGCCTGGGTTATGCTGATGGAGAAGAAAGGACTTTGAAGACTTGGGAGAAAAATCCCTACTTGTGGTCCTGAAATCTAGGACCCATTTCCTCTGTTATTTCTACATTCCATCATGCTCTCTCTCTCACTGAGGTCACTGGTCCCAAACAAAAGAGTCTCAGAGGAGGAGCAGCAATAAAAAGATATCACACAACTGCAGCCCAACCTGAAGCCAGCAGCTGCCACAGCTCAGGTGCTCCTGTTCATGGCCCTCCACGCACACAGGGAATTGTGGCAATGCAGCTAAGGCAAGAGAAGTGCAAGCTGAGGAACGCCCATGTCCTTCCTTCTCCCACACCATCCCTCTTCAATGCCATCACAAGAGGGACACAAATCTCAGTGCCTTGAAATTGCCAGCTCTCTAAAGGAAATCAAGTTTCCCCTCCTGGAAGGGATTCCATTCAGATTTTGGAGCACTTCAAGGCCCTTGGAAGAATTAATGAGTTCACTCTTCCCACCCTTAGCTTCTCCTGTCTCAAGGAAGATGGACCCTTTGGATAGCTCTGTCTGTGCCCTGTTGTCATTGTCCCCACCTCCACCTAGCCCAAATGACCACCATGCTTGTCACTCCTCTCCAAGGACTCCGATCAATGCTGGGCATTGTCACTGGCCTGGTCTCCAAGAAGGGACTCGTCCCTGCATCCAAGGACAATGCAGCTCATCGCTGGATTTGCTGCCAAAGGAGCATTACGAATGCTAAACACGGCTATCTGGTTTTATCACACTGAAGCTGCTTTGTCTCAAAAACAAATGTTGCATCTTTCAGATGGCAACATAAAGGCATCTTTGCAGTAGCTTATAATTCAGGCCAGTCTATCTTTTGTGGTCACACTCCTTAATGTTGTGACGTTACTCATGATGGCTGCAGAGCTGAAGAAGAGCATTAACTGGGAAACATAACCTCCTTTTCCATGCCACATACTGGCACATGAAATCACAGCCAACACTGAGGTCAAGATTAGATACAGGGCCCAGTCCTTCAGCTTACAAGCTGACCTGGAGAAAGGATGCTCAACAACATCTCATATGTAACTGAAGTGTCCCTTCTTACTTCCCCTTGGCATCAAATCAGGCAACAAGTCAACCAGTTGAGGAACAGGTGAGTCAGAGGCTGCAGATGATGGGACCTCTTGCAGGACATGGCTCCTGTCACAGATGGTGGCATGTCACACCTCCTGAGCACCCAACCCTGCTTTAACACCCAAAAGCCAACAAAAAGCAGCAAATTGAACTGATTAAAGCCTAAGAAGGCTTTTAGTAGGCCAGCAGAGTAAATTTTTTGTCCAAACCATCAAGAATTTGTAGGAAGAAATATCCCATCAAAAGCTGTAATGGAGCAGTGGGTATAACCAGCAGAGATTGGCAGGGGATGGTGCTGTTTTCTTACCTACCCAGGTGAAAGGAAGAGATGTCAGTGGAAACATACACTTATCATTCACAGCCAAGTGAAAGGCAAGAAACCTCTCTTTTCAAAAGTAAACTCAAGCAGAAAGTTTGAAAAAAAAAAATCAAAATTTGCCAGACTTTTCTAGGAGTTTCAAAAGAAGACACCAAAAAAGCTGATTATTTTCTAAACAGGTTTACTGACATATATCTCTCCCTCCCTCCTTGTGTCTGTTGTCCTGTAACAAGGATGAGTCAGCCCAGTTCATCCAACTGCAGAGTCAGGTATGAAATTGGACAATATCCAATCTTTCAGTGCTATTATACATCAGTGCTGGCCCCTGACCTTTGATGGGATACCAGGATGTCCTTTCCATGGCATTGGTGAAAGGCAGTTGCTACAATCTTTGAAAGGAAAGATTTCTACACATCATGCTTTTCTTCTGGTGATAACCCAACCTAAGCCCAGGCACAGAACCAGCAATGATGACCCAGACATTTGAGCCATTGGCCCCTGTTCACATTGACTATAAACAAGATATATTTCCCAGAAAGTTATTTTTCTATACTGCCCTTTTTTTTTTCTTTTTTTTTTTGACAAAGCTCCTGCCATCGGTTTCAAGCAAATT